GGCTTCTGTAGTAAGGCCGCGTATTTCCTCTTTTATCACCGCTAGTTCTCTCGCTGAGTCTTCTGTCCCTATTTGGAGCTGCGTTTGGATAGCACAGACTGCATCGTGGACATGGACGAGATCCGGGGCCTGTTGTACTTTCGTCACGAAGTTAAGGGCTGTGAAGATTATTGATTTTACCGAGTCCAGTTCAACAGTGCGGCTGGACGTGCTGTGTACGAATTGCGCTGCCGCTTGAAGGTGCTTCGCTAGTTAGGTAGCGTGCTCTGGCAGTCTGTTTGACCAGGACTCCCCCCTGGGCCAGGGAATCGACATACCTGTTTTTCACGCGTTGGGCGCCGCGTCAGGCCTGTCAATTCGTCTAACTACTAGGTAGAGGAGTGTGTATGCTCAGTTAGCACTACTAGATACCAAGAGTTCACGTTCTCGCTGTTGTGGTCTTTTTTTTGCTTTGAGACTCTTGCAGATAGTCTCACTTGCCAAGACTGAGTGTTGCAGGAATATCACATGATCTCCCGCATAAAAGACTCTTTTCTGTAAAGACAAACCAAAAATATACAACAACATACAAAATCACTATGAGAACACATTTTCACAAAAATACGTTCATATACATCATATTTTCACTTCCTTTTGCTTCCCTGAGCGCTGCACACCAGCAATCTCCAGCACTGCCTAGCTTAGGCTAGCCCTTCAGTGCAACACTGAGACTTTTTCTTGGCGTCACGTGCTAGTGACACATGTTACACAGTCGTACTGGGAAGTACGTCGTAACATTATTCCCCTCCTTAGTCAGCTTGTCCTCAAGCGCTAGTTTATTTAAATAGTGCGTTTCCCACTTCCTGAAATCAAAAATGTCTCGTTCAACTTTTCGTTCTCTAGGTGATTTTGGAGGAGTCTCACGAGCAACATACTTTCGCCATAAAGCGAAGCGAGCACACAGTGAGATTGAACTCCACAGAGAAATCGCTGCAGTGGCGTGTCAAAATTATTTTAAATACGGTATCCGTTGCGTCTTTATGTCTGGGACAAAATCGGTAAAATGCGCTTCATGCGCTTCCAAAGGGATTGCTTGTCTAAACTCGTCATGGGCTTCTTTGGACAAAACTCGAGAAGAAGCCAGATCGCAAATTGATGCTGACTTGCAAGAGCTGGAGAGAATTACAGCTCGTCTGAAAAAGAATCGAAAAATCCTCAAGTTGGCTGAAGCTCGCGCGAAGGCGAAGGCGGTGTATCTTCTGGATGAGCTAGAAGAGGAAGAAGAGATGCAGAGGGTTAAAAATGGTGGCCTTTCCAATGCGGAGCTGGAGGAATTATCCAAGGATTTGATCGTCCAGAACAACATCCTTCCCCAAGGTCCTCCCATCTGGAGCGCCTGGGACCCAGATGCTCTTGATCGCAGCCTAAAGCGCCGTAGGCTCGAAGATCCTGCGCTGGCTTTCCCTAGTTCCGAAGGGCCCGAGCAACACTCAACGGTTGCTTCTGATCCGGGTTTCGTCGGTGGTACTTTAATAGCATCTCCTGCGCCTTTGCCAGGTGAGAAAGAGGTTCCCACGAGTCGTCCTCCTGTGAGTATCCCTTCCATCGTATGAGGTATTTATGTTGACGTCCAACCAGTCGGTGGTCTAAGATTGCTTCTACCTCGTATTCTGGTTCTAAAGCATCCTGGAGTTGGGTTTCTTGGTCTAATGGTGCTTTCGCGTCTGCTTTTTCTAACAAGGATATGTGGAACACAGGGTGTATTGGCATGTGCTTAGGCAGCTGTAGTTCGTAATTGACAGGTCCCTTTCTTGCCTCGATCTTGGACATGTGTCACTAGCACGTGACGCCAAGAAGTAACGTAATCCACCATCGAGCGGTCACCACCATCGAGCGGAAAAAAGACCACAACAGCGAGAACGTGAACTCTTGGTATCTAGTAGTGCTAACTGAGCATACACACTCCTCTACCTAGTAGTTAGACGAATTGACAGGCCTGACGCGGCGCCCAACGCGTGAAAAACAGGTATGTCGATTCCCTGGCCCAGGGGGGAGTCCTGGTCAAACAGACTGCCAGAGCACGCTACCCAACTAGCGAAGCACCTTCAAGCGGCAGCGCAATTCGTACACAGCACATCCAGCCACACTGTTGAACTGGACTCGGTAAAATCGATAATCTTCACAACCCTCAACTTCGTGACGAAGGTACAACAGGCCCCAGATCTCGTCTATATCCACAATGCAGTCTATGCTATCCAAACGCAGCTCTAAATAGGGACAGAAGACTCAGCGAGAGAACTAGCGATGATAAAAGAGGAAATACGCGGCCTTACTACAGAAGCCCAAAAGACAGCAATCATCAGCGAAGAGGCAAAAGCAGCGGCCCTCGAGGCAGCGGCGATTAGCAGGACCACGGCGGACATCGCGAAGGACATTAAGAACAAAGGAATACAACCCCAGGAAGGGACACCTATGAACTACGCTGCGGCAGCAGCCAGAGGCGCTCACAGCGTACAGACGCATGAGCAAAGGATGCCTCCCACCGCGCCGACCCAGCGGGAGATCATAGTGAACATCAGGGACAGCCACACGATCGAACGACTACGAGCAATGAACCCGCGGACTCTTAAAACGCACGTCAACCATGCGATTACCCAAAGCGAGAACGAACACATCACAGGTATCACCATAATGTCAGCCAACCAATTGAAGAGCGGAGACCTCAGTATCCGAATAACAACAGGCAAGGAGACCCAACTCCTGCGGCAATTCACAGACGACTGGGTAGCACGAGTTGGCAGCAGGTCCTCGGTCAGGAACCCGACCTACAGCGTCTTAGTACACGGCATACAGGTTAGTACAGTCAACATGGACAAGCAGGAGGACATGAGAAATGCCATCCTACCAGATAATAAACCGTTTATCCCAAACACAGAGATCAAATACATCAGATGGCTTACCCGGCAGGCACCAAGCAAAGCGATGTCGTCAATTATTATAGAGTTCACAAGGCCAGAGGATGCTAATAAGATTATCGATAAGGGCCTAGTGTGGCAAGGAGAGATATGCCAGAGCGAGCGCTATGAACGGCAGTGCCGCCTGAAGCAGTGTTTCAAGTATCAGGCATATGGCCACATAGGAACCCAATGCAAAGCAGCAAAGACATATGGCTACTGCGCGCTAGAACATGACTCAAGGGACTGCCCATCAAAAGGAGACCGGAACGCCTCCAGGAAATGTGCAGCATGCCGCGGTACACACGAGGCGTGGAACCGCCTATGCCCAACCAGGAAAAACGAGCTGGCCAAGGTAAGGGTGGCCTACGCCAATAGGCCGCGATACTATGCAGTTGCGCCAACAACAGGAAGTGACTCACCAGCTGCTGCCGCGGGCCCCACACTGCGGAGGACAAGGTCAACATGGGACACGAAAACGACCCAAGCCTCCACGAGAGGCCAGAAGAGGGCAGCGCCGGAGGGGAAAGAAAACGAGGAGTCGAATCAGCGACCTCAGAGGCCACTAAAGCCTAGCAGGAAAGCGCTGGAAATGATAGACTCAAACATCATAATACGCCACAGCACCCAAAACATGGACCTCGATAGCGACAGTGACCAATAATAAAATAAAACCAACTGAAGATACTGCAGTACAATGTCCGTAAATCAAAGAACCAGGTCATGGCAACGCTACTCCGAGACCCAAGCATAGCGACCTATGATATAATAGCTATCCAAGAACCCTGGCGCAATCTATTCAAGGACACGACACACCACCCAGCAAAGAACACCTTCCACCTGTGCTATCCAACAGACAGCACTAAGGAATACCTGGCGCGGGTATGCTTCTTCATCAACAAGTACCTAGACCATGCCCGCTGGCAAATCGAATAATGCATGTGAGACCTATGCACACTGCAGATCCTCATAGGTGAAGAGGCGGCAGAAAACGAACTGATATTGCATAATATATACAACCCAGGCCAAGGCGAAGACCAGGCAGCCACCCTCCCAGTATTACAAGCCCAGCTAGAGAAACACGCTACAAAAGAGCAGATAGCGCTTGGTGACTTCAACCTACACCACCAAATATAGGGAGGCCCAGGAGTTATAAGAGAAGAGCCAGAGTCAGAGGAACTCATCGAGATTATGGACGACCTCAATATGATAAATGTGCTGGAACCAAGCACAATCACGTTTAACAACGGCCTTGGCCAGACGACCATAGACCTCTGTTGGATGACGCTAGGTCTGGTCGACTGGATAGTCCGCTGTGGGATAGATGAGGATATTAACCACAACTCTGACCACCTACCGATCAGCACCACGCTAGATATGAGGATCTGGATGATGGAACCCAAACCCAAACACCAGTGGAAACACCTAGATGAGGAAAAGTTCTGCGAGGCTCTAAAGGAGGTCCTCACACCCAAGCGCAGGCCAGACACAAAGAAAGCGCTAGACAAGTATGTCCAGCACATTGTCACCGCAATCCACACAGCGACAGAAAGGGTCCTACCTCTAAGGAGACCTAGCCCTAAGATAAAGGAGGGGTGGAACGACACATGCCGAGAAACACTTGCAGAAATAAAGCGCCTCCGCAGAAGGTACTCCCGGCGGCCGACGGCTGAAGCGTGGAAGGACTATCAAGAAGGTAGGAAACTCAAGGGCAAGACCATCGCAAGAGCACTCCAAAAAGCACACAGAGACCAGGTGATAAAAGCGGCGAGCTCGGCCGAGTCACTATAGAAGGTCGCAAAATGGGCACGCAACAGGGGTAACCAAGCCCCAAGCATCACACCCACAATACGGAGGCCTGATGCCCCAGGGGACACCCAGCAACAGAACCACAAGGAAAGGCGGATATATTCAAAGAGACCTTCTTCCCGCCCCCACCAGAGGCGGATCTGAGCGACATAGAAGGGGCATCCTATTCAGGGCAGGTACAGATGCCAAAGGTTACCAGAAAGGAAGTATTGGAGGCAATCCATGCAGCAGCCCCACTAAAGGCCCCAGGGCCAGATAGGATATCTAACAGGGCACTACAGGCAGCCGCAGGAATACTGGTACTGTTCCTCACGACCACCATCAACCAAAGCCTAAAATTAGGCTACTGTCCGGTCCACTTCCATAAGTCAACCACAGTGGTTTTGCAAAAACCTGGAAAGGACAACTATACAACCCCTAAAGCGTACCGCCCAATCGCACTATTAAACATGATTAGGAAGGTCATGGACACAGTCATCGCCCGGCGACTTAGCTTTCTAGTAGAGGAATACCAGGTGCTCCCCAGCCGACACGTTGGGGGCCGAAAACTGCAGTCTACAGAACACGCGATACATGCTATAATCAAACATATTTATAAAGCATAGAACAAAGGCGAAGTGAGAGTAGCTAGCCTTCTCCTTCTGGACGTGATAAGAGCAAAACTCTATCACGTTATTCTAGGATTAAATGCTGAACAAAATTTGTTTCAAAATTTTTGTAGTTGTCCCCCAGAAGCCTAAATTGACGAGATAGTATGTCTATATTGGGACCGGTAAATTCATCATTCTAGAGATCTATTGCTGAGTTATGGCACATGACCGAACGGCAAGGTAGCCTTCATGAACACAACGCCCTGCTTAGTATGCTTTTGGCGTTTGAATCTTACGGGATAATTGACTGACACTGACGGCACCAGCAGAGTAATCCCCATCTTGATGGTCGCCAAAAATCTTTTTGAATTGCTATAATAGAGGAAAATCTTCCTTAGCCTAATTATGATTATTTTACTTATGTACCACTCCTGCGAAGACCTAGAATTCACAATTGATATAACATAGAGCTTAAAATTCATAGTGTTCCACTAATACTTGTCCATTCATTACCAAGAGAAACAGAGAAATATTCAATGTATATCGGACTTACCAACTCTGTAGTATCCGGTGTTGCTGTGGTTTAAGAGGCCATCAGACAAGCAATGTGTATGGAACTACTAGAATAAGGGCACTTAATGAGTCTACTGCGAGGTAGCACATTAAATGTAGTTATTCTGTTCGGAAGCAACTGCTGTACCGGGGTATGCTGTACAGAGTGATGAGGCACCAAGAAACCAATAAGGAATTCGACACAGCTAGCTCAAGCTCGACTAAACTCAAAGCTGAGTCTAGCTATAAGGAAGCATTGAGTGGGACCAAAGCGAAATTGAGGTTGTGGATAAGGTTACCGGGGCTGGGTCAGAGATGGAAGGTACCTAAGGACAGAGATAGACTTACCTACCTTTGCTCTGCTTTGGAACTATTTCTTTTTTGCTATATATCTACCTTACTTTAGATTGTCTTATCAGAACCTACTTCTTCTATAGCTTTGAGCTCCTCGTCCTATAACCAGAATCAAGAACTCCTTCCCTTTCTTTAACTTAGGAGCGACCTTGACATCGAGTATCCTAGGCTCCAAAAAGTTGGTCGGCCCCAACTCCTTTACAGCGTACCAACTAGGTAGGTACATACGGAATAAGACATTGCATAAAGGAAAGAGTTCACAAGGCAGCTCTGCTGCAGATAAATACTGTCAGTCTCTATGAGGCTTTCCCTAAACTCTTCAAGGGTTCTGTTGGCCTGTGTTGATCGTTATCAACTAGCCCTGTTTAGCATCTGGTGAGTCAACAGGATGGTGCCTATTCTTATGTCAAGGAGGCACTCCGAGACACATTGCTAGAACTTCTGACGCTTCTCTTAAGTTTGATCTTTCGATATTAGACACAAGGGTCAGGAATTATTTGCATGAATAGAATTTCCCTTTGACTGGTCAGATGAAATACCTAGATTCGTTTGTTTGCAAAAATTTCCGACTGTGAAACTACTAATTAATATGAGAGAGCTTTACTGCAATGCCATCATTAGGTTTAACAACGTAATACTTAGATCTACAGATGTCAAAATTCCTTCGTACATACAAAGATCATTGCTTTCAGCTGTGCTGTCATTCCCATTCTCGCAGTTTCTGCACGGCGCCGCAACGATTCATGCATAAAAATATTAAGATATGGAGCAAAAGCAAAGAAAGCAGTGCAAATCAAGGTAGAGAAGTCCCCGTCAGCAAAACCACACATTCATCCGCGCCCGGGATGAGCTTCAGATTGTTGGGGATCTACGATCCAGCAATAGTCAACTATAACGGAATAGGACAAAGTATAATTGGAAACATCACGATTAGCATCATAGTACAGCTCCGCCACAAGACGCTATGTTTAGCCATTTGTACGAGTCAGTTTCGCCTTTAAAGTAAATGTGATCACCCGCAGAGAGCAATCTTGTCATTACATTCCACCGAAATGGCAATAGGCATGGCGAATCAGATGTATTATCCTTGCGCAATTTTACGTGAACTGCAACAACGAGGTATTCAACAAACGAGAATGAATCCAGGCTGGCTAGCTTTTCCAGGCCACCCCATCCATCCTGGTCATTCTAATCAGGTCATCGATTCCACCCAAATTGAAGACATTAGGCTTCTCCAACCTGTAATAGCAGAATTATATGGGCCATCTGGCATGTGTCAGACTATAGATGCGCAGATGTTGACTCATCCAGAATTTCTTGCACCCAACGACTCGCTTATATTTCAAGACCTTGGAAAACCTGCTCAATCGGAGCCACGTTCTCAAGGCCCATCTTCCATGGGTGCTCTTCCATTAGAAACGTCTGAATCAGAGCCCTTTGAACAGCTTGAGCTGGAGCCGCTTGAGCTGGAGCCGCTTGAGCTGGAGCCACTTGAGCCACTCAAGCTGGACTCTCTTCCCTTGAATGACTACCAGCAGGAACCTTCGCCACAGAGGGAGCTCTTCGAACAACAACTAAATGAGTTTATGTCAAAGGTTACAAATAGACTAGATAGGTGAGAAAATTAAGATTGTGCTTTTTGGTCTTCGCTTACCCCGAGTCAAGTTTCCAGGAAAGATTAAGGTAAGAACACATCATTTGATTGAAGCCTTTCTGACGGTGGGGAAGCAAATTAGAGACGTATGCATCAGCGGATGCAGAATATAATGGAATAACTAAAAATGCTGTAGACAAACTTCAGGCTCAAATCCAAGAACTGAGAGGCAGCTTCGTCATCAATAGGTAGAAAACGTGCTAGGAAATGGCAACGAACTAGAAAGAGATGTATTATATGGAAATTTGTTTTTGTTATCTGAATTAAATGTTTGCGAATAAGTTATTAAAGTAATCCTAGCTTCTTTTAATTATTGCACTGCTTGGCCAGCCTGCGCTAGGCAGTGGTAGTGATGCTGTTATGCAGCGTCTTTAGGAAGCAGAAAGGAAGCATAAAACATAAATTTGCGTATATCTGTGTTTTGGTATAACATCTATCGGTTCGTCACCGGACAGGGTACGTGATCGGACAAGAATTTTGTCATCTAATATAACAAATTGTATAAATAGCTGACAGTATAGATAATCTCGGATTATAGATATTCAACTACGCGCTTTATTTCGGCTTCTTAAAAATTGTATAATCTCTCCCCTATAGTCTATAGTACTACGTTCTGCTCTTATCTGTAGGCTTATGTTAGGAACACTTTCCCAATACCGACTAGCTTCACTAATGCAAGCCACTTCGGAAGGGGTTGGCTTCCTAGAGCAAAAGGGAACAATGTGGAACTAAGACTTATTCAGAAAGGAAGAGAAATAAGTTAGTCCAAGTTTTATGACTTAGAGTAGTATGAGCTTCAAGTATGAGAGAATGTTCAGACTAACTACTAGATATACTAGACAGTTAAACTACAGTTCTTGGGTAAAGAGGAGAAATCCTTCCTTTTTTATAGAAGTGAGAGGCAGGCGATCATTCTGGTCATTCATGATCAGACTGATCGCATATCATGCATCTGATTCGTTCATTCTATTAGAGCCAATAGCATTTTCCCGCTAATGCAGACTGATCATGTTGATCATTCATGATCAGACTGATCAGCTTCTTCCCACGTGACTTATGTTACTTCGTAACAGCTTAGCAGTCATTCAGATAGCTTCGGGCATAGTAGATAAAGGGTAAAAAATGTTAAGAAACTACTTTACGCTATAGATAAACTTCTTATAAGTATATTCCGAGCGTTGAGATAGGATATTATAAGTAAATACAATAAAAGTGGTATTTTAATGCTTCATTCTGTCAGGCACAAGCGCGATCTGTTAAACAGCAGGGTACCTGCTACTTGTACAAAGGAGATCATCTTATCTAATCAGCTGCAATCTGCAGCCTCAAAAGAAGTATGGCTGATGCCACCGATGACGGGATGTAGCCACCGCGGCAGGCAAAATTGGAACCAAAATCAGGCACCAAGGCTTGACCGGTCAATTTTGCGGACATTACTTATCTCAGCAGGCTCAGACCCTCGAAGGAGCTTAGCGCGCCACTAGCGCGACGCTAAACTCCTTCAAACTTCTTTAAACTCCTGGACCAATTAGATCCGAGGAGGGGCGCAGCTCCTCTGAGGGTCTGAGGACAATTAGTTCATAGTTACTAGCAAATCTTGACCATAGGCGTGTATAACATGCACCGTACGGCATCACATACTTTTGCCATCTAATCCTTAATTTATCCATTAAAAGTCACCGCAATTGAAAGGTCTTTATAGACACTATCAAATACAAGTGTCATAGATTCTATAAATCCACCATCTAACGTGTCACCGGCGGACTCTGCTACACCTACTTTGCACCACACAAGTAGCCCATTATCAAGTCTTCCTCCTTCAGAACTTGATATCGATCTCAACTCTACATTTATCCTATATCTTACTTCAACCTTCAAAGATAACGAAGAGGAGGATGAAGAGGAGGACAAGGATAAAGATTGTAAGTGTAAGGAATTGGTGATAGGAGTGTGAGATAGATTGTAGGATTCAAGAATATCCGCTAGCTCTCGAACGTATGTCCTCGAGCTGCCTTAAATACACAGGTGCGCAGGGGCCACGTAGGCGTCTCATCCTCTACCGTTGGGGTTTCAACCCGTCCGCACCAGTCTCGAATATATGAGTAGTCATGCGATAGCTATGTGTGCTTTTACTCCCCGTGGCGCCTGCGCCACGCTGCTGTCACGCCGTTCGTGACATCTATACCCTTCTATTGCAGCAATGAGCGGATGGGGTTATAGAAACACAACCATTACTGTCTCTAGGAAGGACTGGATAGATGAAGTCATGAGAATCTCGGAATTGTTGGCCACGAGCTTGCGGATGGTGGAGATCGGGACTAAGGAGTAAAGGGATGTTACTTCGCTAGCTATGCTGAGAAGCAACTTATTACATACTTCATCAGTAAACATATGCTATTAGGTCCTCTAGAATCAGAACTCCTTTAGCTTGCCAAGCTGCTAGTTATACTCAGCGAAGCGAGTATCCTCATGAGTCATCCTCTGTGTTATGATTGCTTGAGTTTTATTGATACCATCAACTTCCAACTTGACTTGAAAATTTCTATCCTAGACCGCGTTGAAGGTTGGCAAATGAGGAATAAGATCTAAATAATCTATTGTAATGCATATCTCTAAATATAGTACTGTTGCAGGCATTATATAGTCTAACCTTAAATAAGCCATATCAGCTCCTTTACTTTGGCTGATAATGCCACCCCTTTAAGCAGTAAGCTAAGCTTTAGTGAAGTCCTTGCCTTTCCAACACAGCAGGCTGAATTAGGATAAATTTAAAGATTATATTGGATTTCCCTTAGACACTGCAATGTCTAGAAGATGCTAGGCTGCAAGCCAGGGGATCGCGGTCACCTCTAGTATTGTCGCACTGAGGGGCAAGCCTAAGCTAGGCAGTGCTGGAGATTGCTGGTGTGCAGCGCTCAGGGAAGCAAAAGGAAGTGAAAATGTAATGTATATGGACGTATTTTTATAAAAATGTGTTCTCATAGTGATTTTGTATGTTGTTGTATGTTCTTTGATTGATTTGATTTGATTTGATTTGATTTTTCATTTACCCTGACCCATCCTAGTTAGGATATGCAGGCTACAAACGAGTCATGTGATCTATTTACATTCTGTCGCACTGTGGCACTAGCGATGCTAGGCAGTGCTGAGGACTGCTGTGCGCGGCGTATTAACGAGCTACAGAAGATGATAGATGGATGGAAAACTAGATAATTGAGAGGATAGGAGGTGGTCCTTTTATTGACTATCTGCAATGTGAGAGATCATTGTGGGTTGTGGTTTTTTGGTTGTGGTTGTATCTTCTTAAGTGATCTCGCTCAAGCGATGGCTAAATAAGGCGCTAGATTAGTCAGGTGCATGTGACCTGTGACACATTCTTCTTTACGGTTCTATTTCCTGAAGTTGAACCAAAAAAAAGACCACAACAGCGAGAACGTGAACTCTTGATATCTAGTAGTGCTAACTGAGCATACACACTCCTCTACCTAGTAGTTAGACGAATTGACAGGCCTGACGCGGCGCCCAACGCGTGAAAAACAGGTATGTCGATTCCCTGGCCCAGGGGGGAGTCCTGGTCAAACAGACTGCCAGAGCATGCTACCCAACTAGCGAAGCACCTTCAAGCGGCAGCGCAATTCGTACACAGCACGTCCAGCCGCACTGTTGAACTGGACTCGGTAAAATC